GAAGGACACAGCATACGTTTGTCCACACCTGTGAAATGTGACCCAACACATCCTGGAGATTTCTGTAATCAAGCAATACTATAGTTTTGTTTTTTTTTTTAAGCCATGCTTCCTATTAACATTGGTTTGGTAAATAGGAAGTGATTAGATTTCCTGAGAAACTGGAGGAGTATCTTATGATATGTAACATATTTTATTAGTTTTTATTTCTTATTATGGACAACTTATTGTGGCTATTCAAGTTGTCATTTACCTTTATCCCATTTATATTTCTTAATACGAAAGTTAATGTCTTATTATGACAATTTAGTTAAATATCTGAAAGGAATATCTTTAATATACATATCTTTTACAAAAGATGAGATTAACTGAGATAGTAAGTTTCCAACTTCTCCACTTATTTTATTGCAAGGTCCAGGAACTCACCCACCTCACGCAACCACATAGGGATTGATGTGCTCCAGTTCCTGTAAAATTCATGCATACATGGTTCCACATGTGAACAATGTTTACAGAACTCTCCCTTTCCCTAGGATCCTTTTTCGTTTCAATGACATTTGTTTGTTTATTACCTTACAGTCAATGTCATACTGGTTAGTTTCTTCATTAATAGGAAAAATGGAATAAAATTATCTCTATATTTCTTTTTTTTTTTTTTTTGCTTATGTGGTGCTGAGGAATCGAACCCAGGACCTCAGGCATGCAAGGCAAGCACTCTACCACTGAGCCACCTTCCCAGCCCCTCTATATTTCTTTCTCAAAAATTTGAGGGTATTTTGGGAGGGTATCAAGTAGATGATGTTTATATATTTTTAGTAATGCAGTTGAAGTAGATACGAATTTGCCTGTATGTGTAAAGAAACATGTAATTTAATAAACAAAGTAATTTCTACATGTAATTTATACAAGTAAATAAAATGTTTGTAAAAGTACCTTTACAGCATTAACCACTATGACAAATGCACCAAATTAAACTTCTAGGTATATTATTTTTTCAGTATTTGAAAGTTTGATGTTGATAAGGACCAGACTATTGTTTTCTTAGCTTGAAAAAGATAAAGAACAAAATACAAACTAAAATGAACACACACACTGGCCATTCATGGTATATACCAGAATCATGTGGAATTCTAGAAAAAACAGGGAGTCCAACAAGTAAAAGCTCTTATAGTAAAAGAGCAGCAATGACAACATAAAGACTCAAATCACAGTAGCATAGCTACACATACTAAGTAGAAGAGAGTATATATTAGAGACCAAGAAAACACAGAAACAAAAGCAGAAAACTATTAAGGAGAGAAAATATTTTATCAAGTAAATGTTTAATTCTTTTCTTTTTAGTCCCTCTCTGTTTGGGAATAAACTCAGGGCCTCAAGCATGATAGGAAAATGCTCTACAACAAAGCTACACCCTAGCTTCGAATGCCTTGTTAACCATTTAATCAAGGAGAAAAAAAATGGAAGAAATAGACCAGCAACATGAAGCATGTCATTTTATCCAAGATAGAGGTATTCAGCAATAAAATCAAACACTAAATGCAATTCACGACTGGAAAACAACTTATGAGTTATGTTCATGTAGCTGAACCTTATCTCCTTATTCAAAAGTAGTCAGAAAGTCAATGACCTTGACTTTCCTAATGAACAAAAACACTAAGGAGTATCAGCACAGGAAAATGGCCTCATCAAATAACTGCCATTCTGAAGTCAGAATGCTTCTAGTGTCAGGAATTATCACTGCACACACTTTTGGTCTTTCTCCTTCAGGACTGAACACAAGCAATTCTTATTGTAGCCTTACTTACTACTTAGCTGTAAGAAACCCAAGCCTCTAATTCCACATTTATTGAAAACAGAAATATCCCACTCAAAATCCCTAAGCATTCAATATTATACGTATTTCAGCATTTAATCATGATGACCACAGTCATCAAAGCCAGGAAATCAAGTGTTACTTAATCATGTAATTTTTTAATCTTCTAAACTAGAAAGTGAGAAGTTTCATTTTTTTGTTTGCCATTTTATGTGAAGTGTTTTATTTGGAATATATTTTATTAATTATACTTATAATTTCTTAAAGTCAACAAATTTTCATTTATGATACGCTTAAGTACTCACTAACAGTTTAAGAATGAAGATATAATTATATTATGTAGGTGACAAATTGCTATTTTTGTAATCTTACCTTCCACTTAATAATCACAACTAGAAATATGGTTAGCATTATTAAATGGGATTGTGTTTAATGCTCTAATTTTCAGAACAATATTAAACAGTAAATTACATATTGTAAAGAAAAATTTAACATACTAATGAGCAAATACTTCATTTAAAAATCTTTATATATTCCTCATGGCATCCTTGTATCAGTTTTAGTAACTTTAGCTTTTCAAAGAAATTTAACAATGGCAAGTTTTACCATGTTGATTTCCAAACAGAAATGAGCTTTAGGTAATAAATATAATCTCTTCACATAAGAAGATAATATGCAAATTGGTGTTTTTTAAAGCAGGTGTCACCACAGCCACATCTTTGGCAAACAGAACACTGTAGGTAAATATACAGAGAATGTGGTTTCTATTGTCAGAAGCAGCCAGATGGGTGCAGAATTTCATGTTCAGAAAAAATAAAACTAAAGGAAAAAAGTTTTAGGTCCATGGTAGCTTAGTGCATTTTATTCATAAAACAAAGCATTTACACTTTTAAACACTAATAGTGTAGATTGTTTAAACAAATGTAATTCTTGTGAATAAGAGCATCTTGTTATAATCTGTGAATACTAATTTGTAGAACATACTAATATATTTTCATGCCTTTTGGACATGTACTTTAAAAATTTTACCTATTAGCCATCAGCATAATTACAGTGAATAATACTATCAGCATTTTAATATCAGCATTTTAAATGAAGTAAACCTGAAGAATGGAAGAATCAATAGTTTTCTCTCACTGAAACAATGACTAGCTGGCTTACTGAAGGACCAAGAGGCCAAGCAGACCATTGTATTATTCCCAATGTTTTTTGTTGTTGTTGTTATTGTTGTTTGTTTGTTTTGCAAGAACCAGGCTGTGTTCCAATAAAACTTTATTTACAAAAAGTTAGTTACTGATTTTTATTTGCCCCATGATCATAGTTTGCTAGCCTTTGGTCTGTAATATCTCTATACTAGTACTTCTACACATTTTCAAGTCATAAATTCTCATGGGATATTATTCTCATGGAATATTATTCATGCTATTAAATGTACCCTTGTTAATTATACTTTCATTACAGAGTGTATGTTGCCCAAAACTATAACAGCTTGGCTCTACTCAAATATTTCAAAATAGTCTGTAAGCTTTAATTGCTACATGTGTGAAATCCACAAAACAATATTCATGTAAAAGTTTCTTATAAACTTCTACTGTTCTATAACTTGGACAACCTAACTTTCAAGTTAGCAAAGTTTTGCTTGAACAAGAGATACCCATATACTCATTCACTGAAAAATAGTTATAGTTGTTTATTAGCAGATAGGCATTGCTTTAGAAAGTAGAGGTTTATTTAATAAGGTAATATGGTTTTGCCAGTAAGATTTTCTGGCAGAAAGGTTTCCTCAGAACACAACAATCTTTAAGATTATCTTAAAGATTTAAATTAATCCATCCGGTTAATTTGAGAATTAATCCTCAAAGTTTTAAGAAATGCTGTAAATATCAGGTATCACAAATGTAGCAAGGTAGATATTTTCATCATTTCCACATATACTTCTATATATTTTCATTAGTTAATCAACATAAATGTAAAAAAGGAACTACCATTGTTTTCCAAGTATGAAATAAAAAGAAAATGGTGTGGGCTACTAAGTCAAGTTTATTGTTACTGTTGTCATTATTATTGTCATTACTACTACCATGATCATCATCACCAGCTCCATCATCATCATCATTACCATCTCAGAGCCTGAATTAGCTTGGCAGGTGCTCTATTACTTCACATTTTGCTTTACATTTTTTAAAAAAACAGAGTTTCACATTTATGCCCAGGCCAGCCTAGACAATGGTCCTTCTATTTACACATAGCTGGGGCAACAAGTACATGTCACCAGGCTAGCTTTTATTAGTTTATATAGGGGTCTCATGAACTTTTTGACAGGGACAGCCTTGAACTGTGACTATACAGTAACAAAGTTTCACTGAGAAAGTTATAAGCATTACTACTTGTTGGCCACAAAACAATCTATACATCAAGCTTCTTATTTCTTCTTGGACTTCAAGCAAAATTTATTAAAATTTCTTCTATTAAAATACATATTCTTCTTTTTAGCTTATAAAGAGGATATATATATATATATATCTGTATATATATATATATATATATATGGCTTCTGGATTCAATTCCAAAAATTTCATATGCTTAGTTAAGATTTTTCAAAACTAATAATAGGAATACATATTTATAATTTAAAAATCTAATCCTGGGAAGAAAGGAGCTATCATGTTGCTAATAGTCTCAGCAACAACTATGGAAAAGCAATAAGCCGACACAAACAAAATATGATTTTCCAAAAAGAAACAAAAAAGACTAAGTTAAGAACTGATTTCTAGAAGCACAGGAATTTCTAGGGGTTCTATTTGATGAACTATTAAAAAAATCAACCTAACCAACTGGTTAGGTGTATATGAGTGACTACTAGAAACAACCATAGTTTACTCCTTATTCCTTTGCATTCACATGGAAACTTCCTATTATGTAGGTTAAAAGCGTGCTTGGTAAGGCCTACTAATAAAAATTGTAGAATTGGGACACTATCCAGTTTTTTTTATAATGAACTTTAAAAGCTCTATAAACTTGATTATCACTTAAGAGCAGATTCCTATTTCTGTATTTGCCACCTCTGACACTTAATTCATAGAAATAAAGATAAACTTTTTTATTACATAGAACATATGCAGAATATACACAAAACCATTTGATGTTAAAGTCTGAAGTTTTTCTTTCAATTTCTATATTTACTAACCTCGTCTGGGACTCTCATGATTGAAAAGAATGCCATTCACAGCAAAGAGATTATATGCTTCCCGGAAGTTCACCACAATCCAATAGGCATAGAGTTTTGCTGCTCCTGTTAGAATCGTTTTTAAACACAAATGAAGCTTATTATAAAAGACAATGATTATCACCCACCTTAAATAGTAAAACCTTGTAAAAATAATAATTTCTAATACATCAAAATCGTTAAAAGAGAATGAAAAGCTTAAATAAAATAAGGGTTCATATGCGCTTAATCATGTTCATCAGGAGATAATGGTTTCCTACTTTTGTAATATCTGTTATTTGTTCTTTTACTATCTAATTGACTCAGCTATATTGTATGCAATAAATCAAGATCATCTTTCTTGGATCTTATGCTTAGTGAATTTTTCAAAAACTGCTTAATGTGCTTTAAGATCTTATCATATAAATAATATACTTTCTTTATAAATGTACTCTTATTTTTAAATGATTGGAGTTAGGAAAATTTTCATGTGGGAAATAGAAAGCATGAAGATTTATCACTTTACTCGATATCAAGAAGTTCAGAAAAAGAATCCTGTTGGGCCTAATTTTCCTTAAGGGATATTTATAGAAGGGTTGAATGAACATGGCTAGATGAAGTGAGGTGGTAATTTCACCCCAGAGGCAATGGCAGCAAATACTTGTAGTTAGCAATCTATAAAGGCATGCTTCTCAACAAGTCTAGTCACCTTAGTCTATCTCAATGTTAATCTCACATCCAATGACTTCAGCTTAGGAGAATGAAAACAGAAACACTCCCCACATCACCCACCCACCCAAAGACAGTGCTGTGAATGCATCCAGCTGGGCACCAGCATTCTCACCATAAGGCGAACGAGGATAAAAAGGAGTAGTCTCCTTCTGGGGTATTTCCTGCACTTTCCCATAAAGTTCACTTGTTGAGGCCTGGTAGAACTTCACAGAGTTGATAAGGCCACAGGTCTTAACTGCATCAAGAAGCCGCAAAGTGCCAACCCCATCAACATCGGCAGTATACTCGGCTAAATCAAAGGAAATCTGGAAAGAAAGTTCATGCATGGGGCTGCATTAATGGTAACAGTGACAAATGCTGAGGAGGGTGAGTAGATAAGGCAAAAACTACAGTTTCACAGACCAAAGAAATGTTAGGTTGTTAAATAAGAATGTGTGTCATCAATTTCTAATATTGAATGGCTAGAAAATATTCTAAGATCCACTGATGATCTATAAAGGACAATCTAAACATCCATATACTAAGCCAAATCCTTGATAACCCTTCTTATCATAGGATAAAGCTGTGTTCCTTGGAAAAAGTTCCTTAAAATTTTAATTTGAGCTGATTGCTAGTGGCTCACACCTGTAATCCTAGCTAATCAGGAGGCTGAGATCTCAGGACTTCAGTTTGAAGCCATCCTGGGTAGGCAAACCCATGAGACTCTTATCTTTAATCTCAGAAAAAGTGATGCTGTGGTTCAAGTGGTAGAGCACTAGCCTTGAGCAAAAAGGAGCTCAGAGACAGTGCCTAGGCCCAGAATTAGAGCCCAAGAACAGTCTAAAAAATTGGTTTGAACTCATCTCTTGGACTTATAAATTCAGGCCATTTATACTTTTAGGAACTCTCCTTTGATTTTTGTGCATATGAAAGATTGAGAATATGTACTTTAGATCAGTTAATTCTTAAAAAAACATTGTTATGTATTTTTAAATTAAAAAGCAAAATGAAGTATCTATCAAGTATATGTAATCTTTTTTATTATACAGCACAGTGCATATGGTTGTTTACATTAATATAAATTAACTAATTTAAAGTAGTGTTGTTGTTGGTGGTGGTGTTTAAAATAGATGTGGTCATTAGTAGCTCACGTCTATAATCCCAGCTACTTAGGAGGCTGAGGATCACAATTAATCTCCAATTAATCATCAAAAAGCTGGAAGTAAAGCTGTAGTTCAAATGGTAGAGTACTAGCCTTGAGCAAAAACAGAAAGAAAGAAGAAAGAAAGAAAGAGAAAGAGAGAGAGAGAGAGAAAGAGAGAGAGAGAGAGAGAGAGGGAGGGAGGGAGGCAGGCAGGCAGGCAGGCAGGCAGGCAGGCAGGCAGGAGGGAAGGGCAAGCAAGCCAGCTCAATGACTGTGCCCAAGCCCTGAGTTCAAGCCCAAATAATCACTCACACTCACACACACACACACACAAAGAAGACAAAAGATGATAATAAAGAAGAGGAAGAAGATGAGGAGGGAGAAGAGGAAGAAGAAAAATAAGAGAAGGAAAAAGGAGAAGAGGAAGAAGAGGAAGAAGAAGAAGAAGAAATAGGAGGAGGAGGAGAAGGAGAAGGAGGGGGAAGGGGAGAAGGGGAGGAGGAAAGAAAAGATGTGGCTTTGGACTTAAAATCATCTCTATACACAATTACACAATCAACCAAATATTAAATCTCCTAAACTAGAAAGGCTGATAATGTTTATCACTGGTACATCTATTGTGTTGTGAATTATCTAATCTTCATGTGGGAAAAAAAACCCTTTCATTTGAGTGAAGAAGGCCATGGTCTTCATTATTTCCTGGTCTAAAGAAGACAGTACCTGGCATTATAGGAAAGTGGGAGATTGTTCCCCACGGAGTCAGCCCTCTAAACAAACTAATGTCCTTTAGGACTGTGAGTAAAGCTCAGGTAGCATCCATAAAACAACAAGAAAAAATATGTATGTTTCATAATCTTTCAAAGCCATGAAGACAGTTCTAGCAACAATTTATTCTTTTTAAATAATGCTTTATAGAGCTATAAGTAATGTACCATAAAGGTCAACATTTTAAAGTTGACAAATTAGTGGGTTTTGTATGCTAACATATTATATACATCATCACTACCACCTAGTTCCAGAATATTTTTGTCATCTCCCAAATAAATTCTGTATCCATCAGCACTCACTCTAGGCAGTCACCAATCAACCAGCTTTCTGTTTTTACATCTTTAATTGTTGTAAACACTTCATTAAAACTGAGTAATACAGTCTGTGGCCTATGGTGACTAGCTTCTATACCTAATGTTTTCATTTTTGGATATAAATACCTGGAAATAGTACTGTTAGACCATATGGTAACAGTAACATTAAACATTTTGAAGAATTTCCAAGACTGTTTTCCAAATCAATCATATTTTCAGCAGCAGTAACGAAGGGTTTTAATTTCTTCATATCCTAATCCACAACTATTGTGGTTTCTCTTTGATTATAGCCATGCCAGTTGTTTACAATGGTATCTCACAGTAGTTTCAATCTGCATTTTCCTATGACTAATGATAATGAAGATCCTTTCATGTTTGTTGGCCATTTGAATATCTTCTTTACAAAACTATATATTTAAATTAATTGCCCAAATTGAGCTACTTATCTTTTCATTATTGAATTACAAAAATTCTTTAAATATTCTGGATCCAAGTACCTTCCATATAAAATTTATGTTTTCACTCCCAAAGGGGAGGGATCTTTTCAGTAGCCTTCAAAGTCAAAATGTCCAGTTTATCAACTTTTGTCATTTTCAGTTTTTTTAGGAATTCTTTGCATTCAGAATTGTGAAGACCTATTTCTATATTTTATTGTTATAATTTCACAATTTCATTTCTAGCATTTATTTCTATGACACACTTTGAGGTAATTTATGTGCATGGTTAGGGGGTCCAACTTCCTTATTTGCAAATTGATATTGTTGTCTTAGCATTATTTTTTAAAAAACTATCATTTCCCTGATGAATGAACCAGATACTAGTTTGTGGTTCTTCAGAAAAATCATGGCTCCAGGTTGAGAGGATAGGACAGGAGATATCAACAGCTATAAGGAAATGATAACCAGGATTATTTAAGTCCTCATTATGGAACAGACATCATTCTAAGTAATTTGCATAAATATTATTACTTTCATAGGAACAGGTAAGCATCTAAAAACCTGAAATGGAGAAAACAATAGCTAGTAGAACAACATGGCTATTCTCTTGATAAATACAACGTATGCTGGGTGTTATACCTGTGTTATATATCATGGTAAACCAATGTCCCTCAACTTTTGGAACTTAGGGTAAAGAAACCTGAACAAGTTTACATAAGAAGCAGGGGATATATTAAGAGGACATATTCATAGGAAATTTTAAAGGCAGTTAGGCAACCAAGTACAGAAGGAGAAGATGATGTTGAAGAAAGATGGCTTCTAAGTCTCCAAATTTTTATGAAGCTCTATCAAGAATAAAGCATGCATTGATAATTACAATATTGAGGATAAAATAATGTGGATAATAATTAATGCAAATAATGTTCCACATATCCTCACTTAAAAACACAGTCACTGTGAAATGTCAGTTATTCACCTTGTGATCACAGAGCTGAACCAAGCTGGGCTCACTGCCTCTGCCCAGGAGAGGTGGAAACAATTGCATATCGCTAGACAAGGGGAAAGATTTCATTTTGAATTTCAAAGTATGGTTTCTACTGAATGTATGAAGCTTTTCTAGTACAAAAGAGTTGGAAAAAAAAAGCCTAAAACAGGGACTGCAGAATAATTATGGAGCATAGTTCTAATCGCACCAAAATTACTGTAGTTTCAGAGGCATGGAGACATAGTTAGCAATAGAAACTAATTTCGCAAGACAAGAGAAATAATGATAAAACAACAACATGAAACAAAAACTCAAGCCTACAAAGCACTGCTTTAACTTCTTTCCAGAAAAATCTTGGCTTCAAGATAACCAGACTGTTTCAGTTCTCTTGATACTTCAATGGCAATAACTCTCTAGACTCTGGCACTATTATGCCAGATCCCTGATATCTCTGGGAAGAAGATATGTTCCTCGCAAGCATCCTTTAGGGGTGTGACCAAGCTAATCACTGTTACACCATCATTATGCACATAGCACCAAATGCTCAATCCCAGGTGCCTCCACTTATTTACTTCCCTGCCTAGTATCATTTTACTTAAACCAAATTTCAGATGTCATCACCAAACATGTCATATCCTCAGCCCTTCCACCTCTGTAAATATTCTACTTGTTTCTGTCCTTCACAGTCCAAAGAATTTTAAGCATTTGTCACCACTTCTAACCTAACTGGCCAATGTAGACTGCTACAACCTTTCATACGAACTGACTTCAATTACTGTCTCCTATCCTTACCTGGCCCAGGTACTATTCTTTTATTTCTTACTGCTATAGTTTCACAGCTTAATCTCTAGCATTTATTTCAACTCTCTAGCCATCAGTCTGTCCTCACATTGGTGCCAGCCTCTTCCTGCCTAGAGCCTCCCCTCTGGCTGTCCCTTTAAAGAAAGAGTTCCTTATTACCATCTCCTTTAGGTCTGTTACTTACTATAAAAAAAAAACTTGATTCTTATCACATGTATATTCATCCATTCCTTTATTCCTTGTTGTTTCTCTTCATTGTAATTATTTATTTATTCGTTTTCTTGTTTATGTGTCTTCCTGTTTTAAATGTAAACTCTATGAGGGTAGGAGCTTGTCTTTATTGCCTCTCCTTCACTCCATAAAGTTGCTTAGCACATTACTTTCTCATAAAGAGCCTGTAAACTAATGATGTACTTAAATGTCAAATACACATATATCAAAATAAAAGCAGGAATTATTATAAAAGAAAATAGATTATAAGAATGATAGAATATAGTAACTGAACAGAATTGAAACTTCAAAACTTCAAAATACAAAACTGTATTTACACATAATGCTGATAGCATTACAATGGCAAAAGTTTAACAATTACATTTAAAAATACAGAATTTATGCTACGACTCCCGAAACATAGGCAGAAAGACTTCAAGTTTTTCCCAGCTTGAACTATCTAATAAGACTGTCTAGCTTGGACTATCTATCAAGATTTAGATGGAGTGCAAGTGGTAGAAGCTGGCACTAAAATTCTGAAGACTCTAGGCTAGGATGTTGACCAGAGAGACCCCAGCTGAATAGTTTCAGAGAAGTGCAGTAAGGCCTTGAAGTACCAGAGAAGAATTTAAAGTGAAAGGAAAATAGAATAGCCTATTGTTCTCAT